ATTTTGATCGACACCGAAGAGAAAAAAAAAAAAGACAAGAAACAAATGTTTAAATCTATCTGGGCATTAATAAAAAGTTTCAGAGGCAATTTTATTATAAAACATGCCCTAACCTTAACTCGAAACTAATCCTTATCCTAACTTTAACCAAATAATCAAAAAAACATATAGTGAACACGGTTTTAAAAGTCACCCAGCCTTGTCTATCACACATTTTGGTTGTATGAACATGTGGCAGCATAACGTGAATAGTACAGTAGCTTTAGAGTATTTCAATTGTAAGGGGTTTTTAACTATATATCGGGATTTTTTAGCTGTCGGGGTTTTTTTATCGGGATTATGATCCAAAACTTTTTTAGTGTTAGAGCAAAATGCAATCATGTGCTAACACAGGTTTGTAAATCATTCATATTGACTAACACTGTGCACTGGGTAATAATAAACCACTATTGACATCATACGTGTACATACAGGAATAAAGAGATTACTATTATGTACCTGCATTTATCAATTTGTTTTGAAATTAATTTTTAATTTTTAATTTGCAAAACAACTGGATTGTTATTTTAAATGATATACCTGAATTCAAATATTAAGTAAAATTGAAACGCTTTACAAGCTCAAAAATTATTGATCATGTAAATTATATAAGATGATTACGTATTCATTACGTAATTTATGTTGAATACCATTTTCAGTGCTTTGTACATTATACGTAATCATAACACATAATGCGTATAAAGTAACTTATGTGAAGATTTCTTTCCATATTTGTAATTTATTTGGGTTGTTCTACGTACGTTTTACTCAGGAAAGGTTTAAAAACTTACTTTGCATCCTTTTATTTTTTTTCCGTTGCTTTAATCTTAACTCGTGGGATTATCCTGGTGGACGAAAATCTGTCAACGGAAATTAAATTTCATAAAGATTAGAATCTAAAGATTTTCTTACATAATTGAATTTAATATAAGGTTATAACTATAAGCAAAATAGGAAAATTCGGTAATTCAACTTCCCTTGCAAAAATTAAAGTCGTACGTCCATTATCGATTTCTTTATAATCAGATTCCCTATATAGAATTGCTGACATAAAGCGCGGCTGATTCTTGTGTCTGTGACGAAGTTCCAAATAGGGAAAAGAACAGTGCATCGATCTAGGAAGGTTTGAATGTAAGTAATAAAAACTAAAAATACATATTATATTGGTTCAAGACGTCATACAGCAAAGTATTCGTCTTTATTGATGCACTCATGACTTTTTATACAATCTTTGTGGTTTTCTTTATTGATTCGAGAAATTTATCTGTCAAAAATCGGATTAAACTATAGAAGGAAAAAAAAAATATATATAAGATCATCATCTCCATGTTTTTCCATTTTTTTTCTTTTTTTTTTTTAAAAAAAAGGAAAAAAAGATTGCATTGTTTTTAGGAAATTATACCGAACACAATGTCTCTTCCTTCAATACAAAGAGTTCTTCTGCAATCTATTGCTGCAGCAGACCCTGAGGGTCATTTTGTAGAAGTCGATAATATCCAAGCATATTATAAGATAGCAATCCCTCAGCATCATCAAATCCTGCTTCAAAATCAACAACCACTCCCATACGAACCTCACAAACCCGTGATCCTTTGCCTTCACCATTTTCTGGGAAATCAGTATACATGGAAATTTCTCATGCAGCCATTAGCTGATGCTACGGGATGTCATGTTATCGCCTATGATAGGGTGGCGTTTGGTTTCACTGAGAGACCAGTTCAGTGGGAAGAAGGCAAAAATCCTTACACCCAACCTGCTGCAGTGGAATTTGCTGTCCAATTGCTGGTACAATTGGGTTATGGTACGAAAAAGGTAGTATTTGTCGGATGTTCCGCCGGTGCAGCCATATCTTGTTCTGTCGCAATCAGATATCCTGATTTGGTTCATTCATTAATTCTGATTGGGCCTTCATTGAAGCCAGATGATCAAGGTAATTAATTAGTTTTTACTGAATTTGGTAATAATCATGCATGTGACTTAAACGCTGATCGTGTTGATCTTATTGTACATAGGCCCACCTCCTGTAGCGCGTCACATTTTAGGATCTGCGTCAGGCCGATTATTTCTTAAGGCCATATTATATCGTTATCTTCCATTTCCGACACTTTATCACGACATTAATTCTATTAGTGAATGGGAAACTGTGGTCAAACCGTGTAATCGTGTTCCACTTACCTTACCAAATTTCTATGAGGCAGTTTCATTGCTGATGAAATATTTCATTCCTTTAGAAATATTACCTAATAAGCACGTGGTACAACGATATCCCATATTATACATCACTGGAGATGATGACAAATACTTGCATGTAGATAAACATAAAGAAGCATTTGACGAATTGGTAGCTGGTGCACCCGAAAATGCAGTGATAGAATATTACGTTTTAGAAAGTTGTGGTCATTTGCCACAAGATGAAAAACCTCAGGAGACTTTAGAATTAGTGATCAATTTTCTCAGAAAGCTTGGTGTTTATTCTGAGAACAGATGCGCCTAAACCTAAGGATGCCATCGGCCTGACCGGCTTGTATATTATAAATATTATAAATTAATGAATAGAGCCGAATGAGCCAATAGCATCCTTATCTAAACCCGTATATCAGTAACATCATATCTGATATACATACGAACTTTATATACGAACTTTATTCTCGACGTCACAATTCGATTTTTATTTTTTTTCGACATAATTGGCAAAATCAAAGAACATGTTTAAACATTTTTATTTATGAATATGACAAGAACTAATTTATTTATTTCGCGGAAAGAATACCGTTCGGTCGTCGAAAACCACGGTACATTCCACATAATTGTGTATAAGTATAGTAATACAGTAGAATACATGCGCAGACCTAAGATTTATAATGTGTTTCAGATTATAAACCGTAGATTCTTAGATTATGTAATTAATGTATTTATATTTATTATTTAATGATAATTTTATGTAGTATTAAGAGAAAGAATGCATTTACCATTCTTTCACCAGTAAGAACATTAATTTTTAAAAAGATAATTAATAAATAATAATTATTTACGTCCGAATCAGTTTATACTTATTATCTATTTTTTTTATTTTTATTTATTTATTTTTTTTTTTACTTTAAGCAAAAATATCCCACAAACAGTATTTAAAATTATCCCACAAACACTATTTAAAATTATCCCACAAACACTAAATTATATAGTTAACATAAATGCAAGGCATATTCTTCAGATCCATTTATGTACATATATTTCTGTATTTACGAAAACTGTTGATGACTGGCCATATTTTAGGGGTATATAGTAAGTCAGTACAGTACGGTGCGTAGCATAAGTTAGTACATACAGACATTAAAAAAAGAGAAAGAAAAATTATGCTCAGATATACGATTACAAAATTTAATGCATAACTGATATTTCAATCTAAATAATTTGATTTGAATATTTGGGGTGTGACCAATCATCTGTGTGACGGATAAGAAATAATCGTATAAAATATATGACTAATTCCTATTTGTCATACATTCATCACATAACTTATTAGTTACACCCTCAAATATTTAAGTTAAATAGAATTGATTTATGGTTGATTTTGATATTTCTTTATAATCGTTTTTTATTCGGTTTCTGCAAAAATAAATAATATATTTGACATCGAAGAATTTTAATTTGACCAAGTAAACCATAAATTCAAAGAAGTAAATATATAAAATTTTTTTTAAAATGAGTTTATGATCATAAATTTATTATCAGGAATCAGAATTGATTGACGATAAAGAATTTCAAAAATAGAATGTTTTATATTCCAGTTTCACATTAAAACTATATGATGAAAGGTTGTATAAACAAACTCATGAAAACTCGGACATATCATATACAAAATTATAAAAGCGAAATTAAAAGATAATAAATTGCGTCAAACAGAAAAGATAAATATTTATTTTGAAAATTTTTTTTATTTAACAAGATTTAAATCCAATAATCTAATACAGTATTATAATTTGAATTAAAGTTTATGTTTTATTATATGTATTTTTATAAGAAAATATCGAATATTAATATGGGAGTAACGTCAAGAGAAAATCAAAAATCGAACTCGTAAATTTATAATTTAATAACTCAATTAATGTCGCGGATCATAATTTAAAATGAAATCTACATTTTCTACTCAATCTGTTA